TAAAGTCTTTAAAGTTGTTTATAAATGAAACACGCTTAACGAATTTCTTCTTCTTAGCTAACAAAGTTAGTCTCTTTTACTATAAGTTCTGTTCGTCTTCTCTGCTCTCTTATGTTCTTTTCATCTTTTTCTGTTAGCCTACTCTTTTCGTTTTCTCTCACTAATAAATTGATTTTTTTTTTTGCATCTGTAAGTACCTCTTCATTCTCTGTTAGCTTGCTCTCTTCATCTTCTCTGTGCTAACAATTTGTTTTTCTTTCATATCTGTAGGTACATCTTCATTCTCTCTTTCTTTCTTCTTCTCTTTGTTAATGATGAATCATTCATTCTCTCTTTCTTTCTTTTTTCTCTCTATTAACGTTAAAAAATCATTCTACTAATTTTTTTTTGTTTGGTTCATGTAGATGTAGACTGTTTGGTTAACACCAAACATATAATCAAGATTCAATTTTAATTTGTGATAAAAATGAAGAAAACTCACAAATTAACCGCTCTCTAATCTTACACCTATACTTTGGAAAGTGATTGTTTAACCGCTCTCTTAAATATAACACATTAGATAGCGCAAGATTTTAAAACAGTTCTAAACACTCTCTAATTTAAAACGAAACCGCTCTCAGATCTCCATTCTGGCGTAGTGAAATAGAGTTGGCAATGGCTCAATTTAATAGTGTTGAGCAGAAATGCAGTAGCAAGAATACCTTGAAACAAAGAAGAAAAGAGAATGAGGGAGAGGAACTTTAGAGCATAGAAGTGCAAAATTTTTGTAAAGTTCCTCACCTCAGTTGGTAGGACCTAAGTTTTTTGAAATTAGAATAAGGAAACTGAGGGCTTTCTCTTACTATTTTTGTTATGTAATGTGAAAATAAAATGAAAAGGAGATGAGTTATGTGCCTTTCAATGTCTCGGTTGAGAACTTTAGTGGATAATTTGGTAGCCTTAAATTGATGTGACGAGACAAGTGTATAGTACCACTCTTATTCAAGCCACTCAGCCACGTTGAAAGGACAAAGGAAGCTTCATCACATAATTATTGAGTGACTCTTGGTGGTTCCTTTTCTCCTAGGCCAAAATGGAACAGTATGCAGCAACTGGCAAAGAGAATGAAAGGGGTGCTAGAATGTAGGAAGGACTTGTGCAGTTCTGTCCTCTTCCAATGCGAACATCATGGCAGCCACCAAGTTGTCAAGATTGAGAGTGATTAGTGAGGGATACACGTGCAGTCTTTATATGAACCCACTTATACTTATTTCATGCAACAATTGAGGTGGATGTTGAGAATGGAAAAAAGCTCAGGATTATGCAGTAAAATCATCATTTTCTCATATAATATTATGATGTCATCTAGACCGCATTCACGTACACACTTTGTTGTCATGAATTTTTTTCCCTAAAAATTTGGAACTTAGTGAGTGGAGAGGCAAGTGTTTTATGTGGCATTTTTGTGACATGATAGTGGGAAGTAGTTAGGCTAGTTTGTCTCGCCTCCTTCTGCAATGCAGTAGTAAGTAAACTAGCTGTTATCAACTTCAACTGAGATGAACAGTGGAGAGTATACATGTAATTGGATTACACAGAAACCTACCTTTCTCCAATGCAGTGAGTAGGTGGCCGAAATAAGAATCATTATTTTTATTTTCTCTCGAATTCTCTCATTTTCTTCTCATTCTCGCGTGGGTTAAGTGCTTGATGGAAGGTCAAACCTCTCGTTCAATCCGCAAAATCCAAACGTTGTACATCCGATTTGAGTTCTGAGCCAAATTGCTTCGAGTTTGTTCCCTTTTCTCTAATATCAGATTTGTGTATTACAATCATGATTAACTTTTCTGTGGTTAAAATTTAAATTAGGATTCAATTGATATTCTAATTTGATAATTAATTTGGGTTAGGTTAAGTAATAATTTGATTTAATCCATGATCTAGTTCAATTAGGTTATTTGATTAAATTAATAATTGAATTGGGTAAACGTTCAAACTCAAATTAAAATCTTTAGAGACTGTGATAATCAGAGTTACACGCATTTAGTATTCTATGGATTGATATCTCTTAATTTGTTTGTAATTTAATTTAATTAATTCATGGTTTTCAACCTTCAAAACCTTACTGTCATTCTTTAAAAAAAAAAAAACTAAAATTAGATTTAAGTGAATATATGTCTCTATGAATCGACTTAGGTTGAGGTCTATATTACAAAATTCTTAGCAAAACTTAGTTATTTTAATAGCAACTAGACATCATCTATCAGTAGGAAACTTAGCAGGTGATCTCTCTCTCTCTTAGGCTGATTTTGCATGCAGCTTTTTAATGTACAAATAGAAGGTTCTACACTGAAAAAGGAAAATTCAGTTCTGCATTAATGGAAATGAAGTAACTACATTTTTCAAAAATCTATATCGTAGGATCTCCTCTTAGCCTCCAAATCCGAATGTGGTGTGTGGTGTTATGAAATTATTCATGCAAGAAAAAAGGGTAAGACATTTATAACTTGTTCATGTAAATTAATAGGTGAATCTTGAGAGTAGAAATGGATTAAAAGAGAGTAAATTCTGCTACATGCCACACAGTTATAAAAGACTATCTAGAAATCTAATTTTCTTTAAGAAGATGTGGACCTGCACTATTTGAATTAGTATCACGTTTCTATTAAGATTAGGTGAGGAAATTTTTTAAATACATTTCAGGAGCATAATTACTAAATTTTTCTCCACATAACTGCAATGCATTTCATATTGATTAACAAAATCTTAAGGTTAATTGGAAGGATAATCTGTGAAAGCCATAGGCAACTTGCCAATTATACCTACTTCATGCACATGGAAGCAAAAACTTTTAATTATAAATAGGAAATTAAGGAAGGTAACCTGTACTTGAGATGGAGTTGAACTGATTTCACAAAATAATACAAGAAGAATATTATTAAATTTATTATTATTATTATTATTATTATTATTATTGAAGAAAGCAAAAAAAGAAAAAAGAAAAAAATATTCTAATAATTTTAAGAAGAATTTAAATTAATCGCACATATTACAAGAGGTATGTTTATCTAGGACAATAATAACTAAAATAAAAAAATTCTTGGTGAAAATTTTGGAGTATTACACTAGTATAGGTAATTACCCCCTTACCTCCAAGCCTTTTTTCACTTTCGTTGTATTCTACTCTTCTAGTGTTAGAAGAACTCATTGTAGGAATATCCTTGAAGCCAATGTTAGACACGACCTTTGTCATCAATACTATTGTTCTACCCATGCTTCTACGAGAGCTTGAGCAAGTTATGAAAGATATACAAATTGTGGAGTCCTTAGTACAACTATCGTACTTGTTTGTGCCTCCATTCATTACTACAATGGGATTTGATGAGGCCAACCGACATACCCTTGGACGACCACCGTTGTCAACTAACAACATTTAATTTTGATAAATCATTATTAAATGATCTTAAAGGGCTTATTAAAGAATGTAGTTCATTTTTTTTATATAAATAAAGAACATTAAATGAGATTAATTATTATTTTAATTAGCATAATTTAGTTAATTTTTTCTTATATTTGAGATCGAAAGGAGTATTTTATGAGGTAATCAAAATATCTCATTAAGTTTCCAAAATGTCTTTCTATATAGATGAGCTATATACAAAGATGTCATAAAAAATTAAGAATAAACTTAAGAAAGTATAGTAAAAAAATGTCATTCATCAAATTTTGAAAAGTTGACGGTGAATTAGTAAATTCACATGAATGAATTAGTAAATTCAAATTCATAATAACACTAATTGATAAGAATTTTGAGTGAAACACACCACAAAAATTTGTCATTCTAATTGGTGAAGCTAAGGTCTTACAAATCTTCGTACTAGGACTCAATCCTTATATATTGCGATTAGGATCCTAACATCTCACCACGCTTTATAGTCTCCATCAATCGAATCGCTTTTTTGAGAAATACGAGACATGAAAGTCATACAAGTAAAGCGATCTATTTCTTGATAAGAAAAATAAAAAAATGTGAATGGTGATTGGATTGATGATAAAATAGAATCCTGGGTCTCGAACAGTGATTCGATTGATGATAAAGAAAAAGATATGTCCATTAGTCTTAAACCAATACTAGAAAGTTGGGGTCATCACTTACACTACTCCACTTACACGGCTCCATTATAGTTCAGAAATATGGTGAAAGACTTTAATACCAATCGATAAGAACCCAACCCAAGAATTTGAGGAGAAGAATGACCACTTTAAAAGAGTTGTATCCTCCAATTGAACAATAAGCTAGTTATCTTCTTGTTTCTCTTTCAAACCATATATCTATAATTTATAAACATTAAATCTAAATTACAAAATATCATGCCTAAATAAAAAGAAATTACGTAAAAATATAATTATGGGTTCTAATAGAAGGAAATAATGCAAAATTTTAAAAACTTATATAATTGAGAAAAATAATTTATCAAATTAATAATAAAGGTAAATTAGGATCTTATCACAATCAGAAAAAGAAAGCAATAAAATTCACAATAAAAAGTTTTGATGACATCAAAATCAAATAAAATGTTTACATTAAATAGACGATTCCAAAACATTCGCTAGCTTACATCAGAAGGGAGAATATTACAAAGAACGATTTGAAGTTAATTTGGATGTGGAAAAGAATAATCACGAATGGTCTTTTCTCCCTCTTCTTTCTTTGGCTTTCAATTTTTGAAGTCACAGTCACAAATCTGGTCATAGAATAACATTAAGTGCACCTACATTGTTCAATACGAAGAAGGAAATAATTCAATTTCACTATTTTATAAAGAACATACGTAGAATCGTGCTTTCAACATGAAGATCGAGATATACGCATCTTGGGTCTCACAATTCACAACACTATAATTACAACCTATCACTCCTTAACGAGCCATCGCGTTACTAAATATATTTTGACTAACATAATTTTGAGAAAATATTTTGTTTACATATTTAGTAAAATAATTTATTTTATTTTATTTTGCAGAATTTCATTATTTCTTGCAAATAATAATTTTCAAATATACTCTGAAATTAAATTTTGTTCGAGTTTTGAGAAACAAAGGCCTTCTTCATTCAATATTCTACGACTTGGCTAACAGCACCCAACAGAGTCACTGCTTTCATTCTTTTATGAAGAAAAGGATGGTGACAATTCCATTTCTCAATCTTTCAAAGATAAAACATATAATCATGCTTTCAACACGAAGAATGAGACATGCACGTTCTAGTGTCTCAAAACGTTACGGAAAGACAACTTTATCATTCTTAAATTAGACATTTACATTTATGTTTTTAGACTTTAGATTAAATTATTTTAAGAAATTAATGGCGTTTTCCAATTTTTTTGAAAAAAAAATATTGATATGTCAAAGTTAATCTTTCTAAAACGTGCTATTGAATCTAAATTTTATTCGAGTGTCAATTGGACGGAATGGAATGCCCTCCAGTTTCAATATTAGCTTCAAGATGTGTATAGTTCAAAATCCAACTATTAAATTTATTTTTGAAAGATAAAGTTGTCATTTAATGAACAAATTAAAGAACCTCAGAGATGAATAGTCTTTAGAGTCTCATTATTTTATCAAGATGTCGAAAATCAATTTTGGGGTCATTTGATAGATAATTTATTCACTCCTTATTTCAAAATAAGTTGAAAATATTATAAAAATCATAAATTGTCTTTCATAGAAATGTATTAAAAGAAATCACCCGTTGAACATCCTCGTAAATTGTATGAACTCATTTATAACCCGTACCGTTGAGTTAATTTAACATTAAAACAAACATAATCTTGATCCCAATTGGATAAACAAAAGCAAAGACAATCAATTCTGAATAAGCACCCAACAAAGTGACTCCTAAAAGCCCAGCAAGAAGGACACTTTGCATTTACCAGATTTTTACCACGCCCCACGACATCCTTCTTGGATGCGATCATTATCCACGTGCTATCAAAATGATTACATCATCATCATCAACACCACCTGAGCTTGGTTTGAAAAGGGATTAAAACACCCCATAATTTTCACTATAAACTATCTCATCAATAACCAATCTTTAGGAAATTCATATACAGCGCTAAATATATACAAATATACAAATTCCCATGGCAGTGCACACTCTTGAACAACACAAAAGTCATCGAAGTAAATTCAAACACAGCAATAGGGACAGCGAAGAAGGCCATTCTCATTGCACTGAGAGCAAGTCTTCAACAAGCCTTCATCCTCGTCAAACACCTTCCTACTCCCACTACAATTCTCACACGGCACGAACCTCACATCTCCGCAACTCTCACAAACAAACCCAGGCTTCAATTTTGGGAACCCTTCTAGAATCTTCGCCAACTCCCCACTTTCAAATAGATGCTTAATCACATCGGCACCACCAACGTACTTTCCTCTCACGAACACCTGAGGAAGTGCCACGTGTCGCTCTCCCAGCACGCGTTGCAACTCCTCTCTGTAACCCCAATCCATCGACACGTCCCTTTCGTCCACCCAAACCCTAAACCCCTTCAGAATCATGCGAACCGCGTTGCAATCCTCGAATGTTCTTCGAATCCCTCGCAGACTCGTCAAATACACCACAATTCGATCCTCTGTGCCTGATAATCGGAACAGCGTGCACGAATCCGAACGCGATTTCGAAGACGGAACTGATTCTGATTCTTCTTCTGAAGAACCCAAGGGTTTTGAAGATTCGAACAAATTGCAGAGCTTCTTCACCATTCTTCCGCGAATCGAGGTTTTCACCGATTCCACCGAACCGTAGGATTGGCTCAGCGAACCAGACCGGTCCAAATGGTGTTGGTGGAGGTAGGGTTTCTGCGATAGTTCCGATTTCGTTGAGTGAATCGTGTTCGATCGGTTGAAAAACGGGAACCGCGACATCGTCGAGGATTCAACTTTAGCTTTGATAATAATAATCTCCGAGTCCCCTGAACGCAAAGAACCGAATGGTTTTAATCTTTCAAGGGTTTCTATTGGGAAATTTCCAAGGAAGAAATTTCATAAACAATCGCAATCGAGCTCAATTTTCAAAGGTGAGAATTCTCAAAACAAAAGAAAATAACGAAGTTTAGGGTTTCTTCTTTCTCACCTTGCGAATCACGCGGTGGTTTACGGTGGCGATTGTGCTCCGGCCGGTGGCGATAGACGACGGAACAGGGTAAACTTACGCGATGAGTTTTTTTTTTTTCCTGAATTTTCTATTGCCTTATGAAGTTTTGTGTTGCGTTGGTTTGTTATTTTGTTTTTGTGTTTGTTTGTGTTTCAGTGGAAGATCGGAACAAGAAGTTGAGTTTCTGTTACTTTCCGAGTTGTCTTTGAGACACAAAGAGAAAGGGTCAGAGAGATAAGGGTAGGCTCTTCTTATCTGCAACGGCAATAATTTATAGAGAGAGAAAGATGAAAGAATAAATATATTTGAATTTTAATCTTAATTAAATAAAAGTTATTTAAGTCTCTAAAATTTTAACATAATAATTATTTGAATTTCTCAAATTATAATAATAAAATATTATTTATATTTAATAGTCTTCAAAATTGAATTAAATTTTTTATTTTAAACAAAATTATATATATTTTTTATTTTAAGTAAACTAATTGATCTTTATAATTTTAAGAATTACTTTAATTTTAGAGACAGAGAAACTGAAAAAAAACTGTCTTTTGTTTTCACTGGACTAGAAATATAGAAAAATAAGAGATAATTGTGAATTTTCTTCACACTTTTTACTTAAGTGTGATTTTAATTTTTAATTTTAATATTTTATTATCTTTTAGTTATTAAAAAAATCTTATTAGCAAAAAACGCCATGCAACATAAAAATACATAGGAAGATTGAAAATATATAAAATATTTAATAAAAAAGAAAAAATTGATTCTCAAATTTAATACTTTGAGGCTATTCATTTATTTTATTTAGATTTAAACATTTTATATATTTTTGTATGATTGCTTTTGGTGTAGATTTTTTGTATGATTTGATAAAAATCAACATTAAATCATATTTTTATTAATTAATAAGCAAAATTTAGGATGCAGGATTGTTGTTTTGTTTTCTGAATCAGAATATGCGCGTTGTTTATGGTGGCAACATAGCGTCCAGCGAGGCAGCTACCCACTTCTGTTGAGGTGGGAGGAACCTGTAGTTAGGACCATCGGCAACCTCTTTTTGAATAAAGGGTACGCGGTTAGACTTGGACTGTTTATTAAATGTATCATTATATCTACATTTTGTTTCACGTGTGCATTTAAAGATATGTATTAAAAAATTGTCCAAATAATCACTCTTATAAATATTATTATATTATTTTAATTAAATTCAAGTTTTTATTTAATAATTTTTGTGATCAAAATTTCTCAACATGTAATTGAACCTGTAAAAAGTATTTTTAATCTCAACTTTGAGTTTTAATAAATGCATTTTGAATCTATGTGTATTATAAATTTTAATTTTAAAAATTATAAAATATAAAATATTAATAATATAAATAATGTTTTTATTTTTAATAAACAATTATTTAAAATTTCGTCCATATCTATGTATATTATAAATTTTTATTATTTATAAAATTTTAATAATAATGAATATATATATATATATATATATATCTCATTATGTTGATTTATTATATTTATAAAGCAATTCATTTTAAATTTTTAAATTAAATAGATTGATTAAAACATTTGTGATATAAATATTTTATTTTTTATATTTATGAATCTTAATTTTAAAAAATAGATGCTTTGCTAATCCATTATCTCTTACGAGCTACTACGTCACTTTCTACGGATGAAACATATTTTTCGATTAACATACAATTAAAAATACATTTACATTATGAACATTAAATCCATTATCTCTCATTATTATCTGCTTGATTTGTTATTATTTTTAAAATATAAAAATATTTATTTTTAAAATATAATTTTTTAAAAATAATGCAATATATTTTATTTTTATTTATTTAATATTTTAATTTAATAATACTTATACATCTTAGGAAAAACTCACTAATGTAGAATTTTAATTATATAGACTATAAATTTTAAATTCTTGAAAATTGTAAAAATAAAAAAACACTATTCATGTTTATTTGTTATGTATAACTTCTCCTAAAAGAACTATTCTATTTACCTCTATATGTAAAATACAAATATCATTAATTTGAATTAAAATATTTTTAAGAAAAATTAAAAATATAGTATGCAACTATTTTAAATTTTATAAATTTGAAAAGAAGAAATATTATAATTATTAATAATTAATATTCTATTACATTAAATAAAATTAAAATAAATTGTATAAAAATAAAAATTAAATGAATACTAAATTAATATGTATATATATATATATATGTAAAAAAAATTACTTGGTATATTAAAACAAATATTTCCTAAAATTAATCATGTTGGAGAATACTCTTGAAAACAATGTTGTTTAAGAATTTTGTTAAAAACACTCTCTTTCAAAAATCAGTATTCACAGATTAAATATAAAAGTTGATGAGTCATATTTTTAAATCGTGATATTTTTAGAAAAAGTTATCGTGAATAAAGCATGCCATGTAACTTGTGTTTGTATTGAGTATTTTATTAATTTAATTTTAATTTCAAATCCTTATAATTTGATTATTGTAAAAGAATTCTTTATTTTATTTTTTTAATATTTTTTTATATTAGATAGGGCACCAAAAGACCCAAAATAAAATAAAATAAAAATACTAATTGGTAATTCTAAAAAAGTCTATCTCATGAATGTCCTTCCTAAATCATGGGGATAGAAAAACAAGATGGAGAGAAGGAGAACAAAAAGAATAATAATTCCACTTGAAATTAGATGGGCCCATTTAATTAGAAAATCAATACTCATATTTATATTAATGATATAGGCTAACTATTCTACAAACTTGATTAAATTATTAATTTCACTAAGCTTGAATTAACAATGTTCCTCAATTATTATTAACAAAAGCTTAGTCAATTATTTTTTTAAGATTACTCTTTAATTAGGTATAAAGAACTCTTTTAACATTAAGACCAAACAAATTACAATTCTCCAAACAAGAGGAAAATTTCATAAGTTTATAATTGACAAATCTTGAGTCTCTTCCCAACTTTTTTATGATAAAAAGAACTTAATTGAAATTTTTGCATACATACCAATGACTCCTCAAATTGTAGCTAAAGATCTTAAGCTCCTCCTAAAGTAAACTTTGAAACATTCTTGTGACTCGTATAAACAACTAAAATGACAGGGGGAGTATTCTTAATATTAACTAACAAATGAATAATATTCTTTGATTTAGAAATTTATAAAATATTTAATTTTAATTAATCCCAAAGACACAAAATTCCCTTGACAAACCTATTGCATCCACTTTAATGTAGTCAAACATTTTAATTCTTTTAATTATATTATCAACTCTAACATTGCTAATTCTTGGTTCTAATATATTAATAAAATTCAAGAGAAAGTTTAGACCTAATGCTCTATAATTCCAAAACTTAAAATCCATTAACCAAGATATTTTTTTGGATTTTCACCTTTACAGATAGCAACTGTTATAAATTTGATTATCCATTTTTATTTGATCCTCTACTACAGTTAAACTCTCTTGGTCAATTTCCATGTCTATTCCAATTTAGGAGGTCTATCTAAAGGAACATTTCTTTTCCTAATTAAAACTCTCATTCTCTAAAAAAGTTGATACCTAGTATATTCTCAATTGAGCCACAATCTTTATGATTTCTTTGTATTTATTTTTGAAAACTATTCAATAAGTCTAACATTTCTTTTCTTTTCTTTTCTTTCTTTCCTCCTCTATCATCTTTTTTTTCTTTTCTAAAATCTACTTAAAATAATTTATTTAGCATTTGTTATAAGAATTCCAGATGTCTCTTTTGGTATCTCTTGCTTGCTTTTATCGTTCTGGCTTTTTATCCTATTTAATAGTTACTATGCATAGTATTCTTGGTACTTTTTGTTTATTGAAATTTCTAGTTCTTTCCTCATGATTTATCTGAAGGTCCACTCTTACGTTAGGAACACTAGGCTGATGATCTTGTTTTTTAGGCTAAATTTCATCCTTAAGGTTTTCGTTATTTAAAATATCAAATCTTGAGATAAATAGAACTCTTAAGATTATTTGCAGTGACCAATTCCATCTCATCATCTTCCTTGACCTTTTGTTATGCTTCACGTCAGATATTCTTCTTTAGTGGATCATCATTCAACTTTCTCCATCTCTCCTTTCATCAGCTCTTGATGTACCAATTTCCTAGCCGTAAACCTTCATATTAGTGTTCTCAGACCCATGCAAGATGGCCCTCAATGCAAACCCTAATAGAGCATCATTTCTAACACTTTTCTCGCAAGTATATTCTCTCTAAATCCTAATATACCTCTCTCTAAATTTTGCTACAATACAATAGTATTTTATTATTAATAATTAAGATATTTTAATCTTTTTAATATAAAATTTATTTAAATTCAATAATACATGTATAATGTACAGAAAGGCATACTAGTTTATTATAGTTTCTTGAAGTAATTATTTGTTATTTATAAATAATAATACATAATATTTTTTTTTTATAAATATTTCAATAATAAAATATACGTTTAATTAAGACATTCAAATATTGTAAGAAAATTAAAGTTTAATTTAGTGTACTATCAATATAAATATTTTTATTTTGTTAACCAATTAAAATGCTTCATAGATATACTTTTTATATCAATTATTATGTAAACAAATGATTCTTCCTATACGTGACAAAAAATTTTAAATTGACATCTAACTATGAATTGTTAGATCAACAAAAAATATTTAGTTTTATAATAATAATTACTTAAAAATTTATACTCATTATGCATTCTAATCTTTTGACAAAAAAAAAAAAAATACTTTCACTAACATATTATACCAAAATTAAACTTATAAAATATATAACTATGTTAATAGAATTTAATTTGAATGTTCTAAAATATAAATATTTTTTACACTATATATAATTATTAATTTTCATATTAACAAGAATTATTGAATTATGTAATAAATGATTTATAATTAAATCTATCATGAACTTTAATTGATTGATAATTTAAAATTTATATATTCACAATACATCGAAAATTAAACTCACGTTAGTATTGACTTATTCTATAGTAACGAATTAATGAACTTCTTAAATTAGATAACTTTATTAAATTAATTTTAATTAACTATTTGTTTGATTGATTAAATTTTGTATTAATTATTTTTAAAAATCACCAGATTATTCTAACAAATTATAATCTATTACTTTACTTGGTATTAGATATAAGTTAAATGAAAAGTTCATATCGAGTGTAAGAATTTTTAAACTTATACTAGTGTA